TGCTCCCTATACTCCCTAACAAAATGGTGTAGCTGAACGAAAAAATAGAACCATTAAGGAAATGATGACTTCTATGCTTTTGAGTTCGGGTTTATCTGATAATATGTGGGGAGAAGCTATTTTATCTGCATGCTATGTTCTTAATAAAGTTTCTCATAAGAAGTTAGATAAAACCCCGTATGAGTTATGAAAAGGGTTTTCCTCTAACTTAAAAAACAATTCTGAAAGTGTGGGGGGTGTTTGGCTAAGGTTGGTCTACCTGATTTTAAACAAGTAACTATTGGACCCAAGACTTTTGATGCTATTTTCATTGGTTATGCTCAAAATAGTGCTGCATATAGATTTATGTCTTTGAATGATAGTTCTATTTGTGAATCTAGATATGCAGAATTTTTTGAGCATGTTTTTCCATTGAAAAATAATGTGCCTAGTGATGTGCGTGATAATGCTTCTACATCTATGCATGTTAATTCTCATATTATGCCTTCTTCTGGTGTTACTGCTAATGAGCATGAAAATAAACTTAGAAGAAGTAAGAGGCGTAGAATTGAAGCTAGCTTTGGTCCTGACTTTGTTACTACTTTCTTGACTGCAAATATTGATCTTGATGTTTTGAGTGATGAAGTAGTGTCAATCTATTTAATAGAAGAAGACCCAAAGACATACAGTGAAGCAATGAGGTCAGTAGATGCTAGTTTTTGGAAAGATACCATTAAAAGTGAATTAGACTCTATAGTTTCTAATCATACTTGGGACTTGTCTGATTTGCCTAAAGGTTGTAAACCCATAAGTAGCGAGTGGATATTTAAGAAGAAATTGAGACCTGACGGCACAATTGAGAAATATAAGGCTAGACTTGTTATTAGGGATTTTAATCAAAAGAAAGACATTGATTACTTTGACACTTATTCTCCTGTGACTAAGATAGCGACTATTAGAACTCTTGTTTATTTAGCCGCTATTCATAATTTAGTGATACATCAAATGGATGTTAAAACGGCTTTCCTAAATGGTGATTTAGAGGAAGAGATCTATATGTCTCAACCTGAGGGATTTATGATCCAAGGACAGGAGAATAAAGTATGCAAATTGAGAAAGTCTTTGTATGGTCTAAAGCATGCACCTAAGCAATGGTATGAAAAGTTTAATAGCACATTAGTGGATAATGGTTTTGTTGTTAATGCATCTGATACTTGTGTTTATTCCAAGATGATAGGATCAGATTGTGTTATTATATGTTTATATGTGGATGACATGCTAATCTTTGGCCCTATGTGAATGTCATTAATGAGACTAAGAATTTTTTGTTTTCTAAATTTGAAATGAAAGATCCTGGAGAAGCAGATGTGATTTTAGGGGTTAAAATCAAAAGAACTTCTAGTGGTTTTTCATTATCTCAGTCTCATTATATTGAAAAAATGTTGAAAAGGTTTAATTGTTTTGATGTAGCACTTGTGAGAACTCCTTATGATCCTAGCATACACTTGAAAAAGAATAAGGAATCTAGTATTTTTCAAACTGAGTATTCTAAGATAATTGGTAGTGTAATGTTTCTCATGAATTATACACGACCTGATATTGCTTATGTTGTTAGTGGATTGAGTAGATATACTCACAACCCTAGTAGTGAACACTGGAATGCTCTTCATCGTTTGCTAAGGTATTTGAGAGGTACTATGGATTGGTGTTTGCATTTTAATAAATTTCCTGCTGTTTTAGAAGGATTTTGTGATGCAAACTGGGTTACTGACAATGATGAAGTTAGCTCCACTAGTGGCTATGTGTTCACTTTGGGTGCAGGTGCTATTTCATAGAAGTCTTCAAAACAGACTTGTATAGCACGATCTTCTATGGAGTCTGAATTCATTGCTCTTGAGTTGGCAAGGCAAGAAGCCAAGTGGTTGAGAAACTTATTGGCAGACGTGCCTTTATGGGGAAGACAAGCTTCACCAGTTTCTCTACATTGTGACTCACAGGCAACAATTGGAATTGCCAAAAATAGTGTGTACAATAGAAAAAAAAGACATATCCGCATTAGGCATGGTGTTATTTCCTTGGAATATATAAGATCCGAAAGAAATTTGGCGGATCCTTTAACAAAGGGTTTGGCAAGGAGAGTTATCCTTGAAACGTCGAGGGGGATGGGGCTAAAGCCCATGGATTGAGGAAGTATGGTGGATACCCGTTTGTGGTCAAACGACGCCATATGAGACCTCAATATGCACTACATTTCCTATCCCTATGGCGTGTGGTAGTGCTTTATAAGGTTGAGCTTATTTTGCTCTTAATGATTCCATAGCCTTAAGGTAGTCTATGTGTAGATAGACTTGATGGAATCACCTACGTGAGTGAAAAGGTGCGGTCGCCTTTTATGAAAGACTTGGGATGTCTTTCTAGAGCACTCATGAGACCCAAGGTATGTGCATGACCATAAAGTACTTTGTTACGTATCGCAGAGTTTGACATAAAATTAGGATATAGTATGTGTTGTGGGGGTCTCAATTAATGTCCATTCAGTTCAAGAGTACTTCACTTTGTGGATGTTAGTTGTTGCC